AATTATATTTAGATCTTGGGCTTGTCACTTCCTCAGTAAAATTTTCTATGACTGCCATCTTATAATATGATCCTCTCTTCTTATTTTTTAATCATAGCACTCAGATCCTTTCCTTCACAATGTTTATTACATAGGTATAGCCATAATTATATGCATATGAAGGGTAGCAGGAGATGCCACTGTAGAGGAGTAAATATAATTTTCCCTTACCCTTCTAGTTCCTTAGCTGAGACCCCCGTGTAATAAAAAGAAAGATTAACAGGAGAAAAAAATTTAATTACCTACTTATTTACTGAAGATCCTACAAAGATCTGAGACTCAAACGGCAGCTGGGCAATTGAGGCTTCAATACCATCTTGAACCAAGGAGTGGGACGGGGGCTGGGATTTCAGAGGGGAGGAAGGAATTTCACAGAAAGGTGAGAAGAGGAAATGTATGCCAAACAAACTTTGTAAAAGGTCTCTCAGGTGAAAAAGTGATCTCTGGTTAAGAGCTGTTGTCCCCGTGCAGGCCCTTTTTCTAATGCAAATGTCGCTTCCAAAAAAAACAAAAACAAAAACAAAAACAAAAACAAAAACAAAAACAAAAAACCCTGTAACTTGCACTCCATTTCCAGAGTTTCTCCTGTGTCTGCAGTTTCTCCAAATAAGCAGCTCAAAATAATCCGTATGTCAAAGAGACATATTTTGGGGTGGTGAAGGGGAGCAGAATATGCCACCCATAAATATATCTCTTTAGCGTAAGGATTATTTTGAGCTCCTTATTTTGAGACACAGGAGAAGCTCTGGAAACAGAGTGGAAATTACCCTTTTGTAAGGGAAATTTACATTTACAATGGAAATCTCCATTTGAACGGTGTCTCCCTCTCTGTACCAGGAAGAGGAGGATGACTAAGTCACCAGAAACTCATCACTGGAGAATGCAGGACTCAGATCTGCATAGTAACCTTACCCTTGTTCACTGTGTGTTTCCTGGTCACCTCCAATAATGCACCTCCCCCAACATCTTCTTTTGTCTTTAGTATTAAAGATGGTATCTTGGGCCCTCTGGGGGAGTAACTTGTTTTCCTGGGTCTCTCTCATGGTATAGGAGGTATACAAGTTATTAAACTCCTGTTTTTCTCCCATTAATCCATATTATTACAGAGGTCTCAGCCAAGAGCCTAGAAGGGTAGAGGAAAAATCAGTTCTCCTCTCCTACACATATACACTTAACTATCTGCCTCCCTCACTGTTCTGCAGTCTGAGACTGAGCTGGCTTTCAATCACTTGCGGATTGAACGTACAAGATAAAGAGCATCGCTGGGAAGGGTTCATCCCCCTTTTATTTTTATTTCCTTTTACCTCACTGATCATCACATTATTTTTTCTTTAATAAATTCTCAGGTTTATCTCTTCCTCGCCTTGTCCAGGACCACCAGGCTGGTCAGGGCCTCTGTACCCAACACTTCATACCACACTTCGTGGTGGTTTTGCTCTTCTCTCACTCCTCTCTACTCCATCTTCCCAAACTGGTCTGACATCTTCTCCAACCCCACTAATCTCTCTTTCTTCGGAACTCACCCTGCATTCACTGTCACAACATTTAACATCCAAACAGTCCTCTTGTAATGTGTATTTCCTTAATCTGCTCAAAGGGCCTGCGTCCTATATTTTTTCTAGAGTCCAGGGCCAAACTTGGTACCAGGCACAAAGGAGGCACTGAATGCTTATTTTACTGATAGAGAAAACCAAACAAGTCCAGGCCAAGGCTTTCTACCCTTACTTCACACTCATAGTCTCTCCAGCCAAGCAAGCAGGTGCACCCCAGAGCACCTGTGTTCATATGATTTCATCTGCCTGTTTTTCTCTCATTCCATAAACTCCTGCCAGGCTCTCAAGGTTAGTTCAAGCCTCTTCCCTAACAACCCCACAATGTATTAAGCATCCTTTCATCTGCTGTTACTCTTCGACATCCGCTCTCTGTTCCTGCACTGTCTAATCTGGTTGCCACTCGCTCGGTATGGCTGCTTTAAATTGAGATGTGCTGTAAAACACCTAGGGACTTTGAAGACTTAGTACAAAACAAAGAATATAAAATATTTCACTTATAATTCTTATATTTGCTTCATTTTTAAGTGATAATAGTTTGCTATATTGGGTTAAATAAAATAATAAAATTAATCTCACCTGTATACTATATTTCACCTATGTATTTGATATATTAGTAGAATTAATTTCACAAATGAGCAAAATTTATTTCTTCTTTTCTTCCCCAGCTATATTGAGATGTAATTGACATACTTATTTGTTGCTTTTTTAATTAGAAAATATAGGAGGGGAAGGGTATAGTTCAGTGGTAGAGCACATGCTTAGCATGCAGGAGATCATGGATTCGAGTCCCAGTACCTCCATTACATAAAA